TGGCGGCAAGCTCCCCTGGAGCTGCTCCGTGCTCCTGTTCTCTGCAGGTGGTGGCCGAGGAGGAGGCGGTGAGGAGAAGATGGCATCTCCTGGCCTGGATGTGGTGTCCTCCCGTGCTGTCTGCTGGGTCGGTGCCTGGAGCTGCCACCAGACCCCATCCCCTCTGGACAGCGGGTGCTGTGGAGGGGACAAACCATCCTGGTCACGGAACGGGGCAAGTCCAGCGCACGTTGAGGGCTGAAGATTTACTAGTGCACAAACCTCAGCAAGGCTGGATGTGCCCCAAACAGGCAAGGTAGATGTCAGCAGGGCTGAAAAGTGAGGCAGAAACCCCTGGTCTTTGATTCTTACTAATTTTTCATCAGGTTTTTTTTTCAATACTTCTGCTTGCACTCACTTTTCCACGAAGACCTTGGTAACAGGGTCAAATTAAGGGCAAAAAAAGCTAAGGAAAGGTGTCAGGCCATGGTATAACTGCAGTGTGGCACAGGGGAGCCCAGTCTAGTTGGGCTGAAGTGGGCCAGCCTGTGTCAGGCAGCTGGGTCTGGGCTGCGCACCCTTCCACTTGCAGACACCATGTGAATGTTTTTTGGTAAAAACATGCTGTGGTTATTTGCTTTTACCCAGCGTGCTGTTTGCTTGATGGAGAAGGACCAGATCACAAACTCATTCCCACAGAGCTGGAGCTGTGGTGGCAGAGCCAGGACTGGGTGTGCAGTAGCGTCACTTTCACTTGGTTCCACTTTTCTCAGAGGTCATCTATATTCAGCCATGTGTCTTGAAAGACTCTTGCACCTCATTCCTTCAGATTTTCTCCCCACCACACAAGAACTGGTGAAGCTTTAAAAACTCCAAAGAGATGAGACATTGAAGAAGTTGGTCTTCAAAAAAGTTCTCCTAAGTTGTTCTCCTAAAACCACTCATATTTGGTTGACTCAGGAAATAGTTTGCTTGCAGCAAAATTGCTTGTTACTTTCATGAAGCACAAATGAGGCTTGTTTCATGCTTTAAACTTGCCAAGATCTGCCTCAACAACTCCATCTCCTGGGAACTTTTGCTGAAAAGCCAGCAGCAGCAGTGCAGCTACGCCCCGGGTATGTTTAGACCCCCCAAGCTGGACCCCAGAGATAAAACAGAGAAGGTTGTTCTAGATATAGTCCCGAAATTCAGATGTTAATCAAAATTAGCCAGCCTCTGGGATTGGCATGCATCATTCTCACCCAAACGGGGATTTTAGAAGCAGCTGTCAAAATATTTCCTAAGACCACAAAAAGCCCACAGATACAATCACAGCAAAAGACCTCCCTGGTGGTGGAAGATGTTGAGCTTCCTCTGGAGATGTGGTTGTCTCGCGTTGCCTGTGCCACAGCATTTTCAGCTTCTGCAGTCAACTCCACTCATGTCCTGATGAAGAAGAGGTTTTTCAATTGGTGTGATGTGCCCTGCCATTACTCTCTGACGCTCCTGACAACAGTAAAGGTGAAGCAAAGGTGGTGGCAGGCACTTTGGTGGCTCTTCATGATCCAGAGGAGGAAGCCAGGATGTGGTCTGTGACTCAAGCCACCTTGGAGCTGTACTGCTCTGCTGGAGGAGAAACCCGAACCTCTTCCTCTCTCCCAGACGATCTTCCACCACAGAAGGAGCACCGCAGGGGCCAGTGCAGTCCCTGGCGGGTCTCCAGAGCACGAGGGAGCTCTGTGATGGCTCCAGGGCATCCTGCTGTCCCACGCTGGGCGACGAGCACTTTGTGTGACCACCCAAGCATGACATCCCCACCTCTCCTTGTTTGAATGCTCCTCTGGTGAGTTCAAAGTCCCCGTTTCCCCCCTCCCTTCAGCCCAGCAAAGTATCACTTGTTGCAAATAATTTGTTTTCGAGGTAAATGTCTTTTTAAGCAAAGCCAGCAGTTTACACAGGACAGTTATTATTCTTGTAATCACAGAAAATGTGGTTTTAGGAAAAAAAAACCACTACGAAACAAGCCCAGATCCCTCAGAATCACATGTGGGTGACACCACTCACAGCAAATTTTAATATACCCCAAAAAAACACGGGCAATAGTTCCCACCCATGAGGTTGCTGGGAATCCTTGTTCACATGCATGAGATCTGCACTGTTGGGATCCTCCTCCATCCAACAGTCACCAAGCAATTGTCCTACCTTCTTAAAATAAAAGCAGGCTGGTGGATTCTGGCTGAGTAACACCATGTCTGGGTAGTGCCATCAAACCCCTGAGGTATGGCAGAAAACCAGCCCCTAAAAGGGCTGCTCCATGGGGTCAGCCGCTTGCAGAAGAGAAAACCAGAACTGAAAGTCCCTGACATGTCTGCTTCCCCTCAGCCCAGCTTTACAGCACACACCCCCAAAAAGCATCAGCTGGAGTTTTCTCCCCCTTGAAGTGAACACATCCTGCCCATTCCCTCCTTTTCCTCTCACCCAGCTTTAAGATCAGACCCTATGTCCCTAAGGTCACTTTGTCCCCTTTTTTAAACCTTGTGCCATCACTTCAGAGCCACTCAGGAGCCTGTCATGCCTGAGCATGGCACCACCACCCTCCAGACCCACCCCACAGCCATCAGAGCCCATGAAATCGGCTCGCGTTGTCATACAACTCTGAAGAAATATTTTAAGGACTCCATCTTCCAACTTTATTTAGATAAAAATCCTGTACAATTCAGTGCCATTGAAGCCATACAATTGTTTTTTAATCAGTAATGTGGACATTTATAGCTATGTGCTTAAAAAAAAAATCCTAGCTTGCATTCTGCTTGGAGTACATGATATTTTAACGATAAGCTTCATTAAAGAAGGATTTCTGCAATGAAGATTGTTCTCTTAATCTTATCCACAAGTGAGATGTGAAGGCAGGACAGAAGCTCAAGATTTTGACTTGGAAGGCAAAATTCTTCAGACCTGCATGGAGGAAAAAGAGATTGACACCGGTCACTCAGTTCACACCTTCAACTGTAATTATTTTAGGAAAAAAGCTTTTTCCACAAAGGAACTCTGACTGCAGAGTCCTAGCTGCACACAGACAGACCCACCTTCCAATTATATTTAGATAAAAATCCTGCAGAAACTGCTTTTCTGTCCCATCCTCAGTGGGGGTTCAGAGTTCAACAAGCAATCCTCAGCCAAGAGGACCTTGCTCTCCACCCCAAGCACCAGCTCCATGGATTTTCTCCCTTTATCCTGCTCTCAGCTCCTCCACCTCTTGTAAATCCTTGTCCCCAGACTCCAGCAAAGTCACCAGTGTCCCACCTCCAACCAAGCTTGGTGTCCCTCAGCATCATCCTCCCAATCCAACCATTTCTGGCTCTGGGGGATTCCTGGAGCCTTTCCGCAGCTTTCACACCTCAGCTTTTCTGATGCAAATTAAGACCATTATCTTCTCTTGTACCCGACTAGAAAGATGGTCAACTCACCCCCATTTTCTCTCATCCCTGGAAGACTAATGTCCTTCCCAGCCTTTGCTGCTCTGCCATTAGACAGCTACAAGTAAAGTACTCGGATCCATCTACATCTCCCCAAGAAGAAATTCCCAGAAGTTTTTCTGATTTACAAAGTTCCTTTGACTAACGATTCTGCCTGTCTAAAAACCATCATAACATCTCCTGGTCCATTTTCTGGGCATTTCAAGTGAAATGTGCCATGTCATGTCCCAGGTAGAGTTAATAATTATCAGGTCTCTACTGAGGTACGTAACTAAAGCATTTCAACTTTTATTTTTTCAATTTCAACATTTCCATTTGTCACTATGTCAGCTAGGCCATGTATCTCCAGTTTTCCTTTCACTTTCAAGGATTAAACTAGCATTTACTGGATTGCTAAATCCGGATCAGTTACACCCACACAGTTTGAAGAACCTGGAACACTCAGACTGTGAGACACCAGTGAACCAAGACTGGTCTGGCAGCAAGGCGCTGACCCGTGCCCCGTAAATCCCAAATTACTGAGCCCACACACTGCCCGCTGCAGGGTTAACCAGCCTGCCTCCCCCCATGCCACGGGGATTTCCAGGTACAGCAACTTCCTCCTCAACAGACAGAGGATAGCACCACAGAGTCTGGAGAAGCACTAGAGGACATGTGACAATTCCGGAAAAATATCTGGCAGATGAGCCAAAGACACGCAGGGAAATTTTGCTCCAAGGGGCTCCTTTCTTTTGAGCAAGAGACTCTTGTAGGCAAGTTATGGCTGAGAACTGGCTCAAACAGTGCATAGAAAGAGGGTCAGAAGAGCCCCGCTCCCAGTCAGCAGCAACACATGTATGTTTTTTTGGGGTGCTTGCTTTTGTTCCTCGACTCTGCAAGCTACAGACCTTCCCCCCTCAGAAAGCAGTCCATGTTCCCCTTGCTGGCATGTAGCATCAGCGTAACTCACCATGATCACCCCAAAACCAGCTCAGAAATCTGGATCTGCAACAAAAAGGGGCAAAGCGTTAGGCTTAAAGGGAAACCAGCCCCCCCCCTCCCCCACTGCCACAAGCCCCCCCCTGCTGGGAACAGCCCACACACTGCCCTTGCTGGGCTGCCACGATCAGTCCCCACCATACATCCTTTATATTCCCCAAATATAAAGAAAAAAAAAATCACTATATAATCCCTCTCTTTCTAGGCAAGTTCACCTAGAAAAAGATCCGAGTGCTCCATGAAGAGTCAGACACAGCGTAACAGATAACAGCAGGATAAATCTTCCCTGTCTGCTACTAACAAACTCTTCCACAGCCTTTCCAGCTGAAACCAACTTCATTCTCCATCTCTAGCACGAAATCTGCAAAACCCACCCCATTTATAGCATCCTGTTTCCTGACACTATGGATATAAATTAACGAGATCTGGCTTCTGCGCATGAACGGTGGCAAAGCTTGAAGAGAAAAGCTCACGACAGATACCCCAGCGGAAAGACTGCGGCTCTCGGAAGGCGGAATGAGCCACCCTGCACACGTAGACGTCGCCCTTCTGCGGGGTGAAGGGCGCGTAGACCAGGCGCTGGAAGTACCACTTGTCGTTGAAGGACATGTCGGCGTACTTCACGCCGCTCATGGGCTCCCCGTTCTTCAGGAGCGAGATGTCGATCTTGGGAGGGTGGAAACCGCTCACGAAGCAGTTCAGGGTGTTCTCCTCGCCGGGGCTGGCATGTTTACGGGAGTAC